CCCCAACCCCTGCACTCACACAGGCATGCTCTCATATTAATGTTAAAAAATAAAATAAAATACTAAATGTACTGATACCCATCAATGAGTCTGATGTCAAAGACTAGCTTTCTGTTCACTGCAGATGGCTGGAGTTGAGAAATTGATGGCTGATTAACAATCCTTCTCTTTCATTAAACCACCTGTACTTTTCAGTTCATGGGTAGTGATAAACCAAGAACAAGATAAATCATGTAGCATCTTGACAATAAATAATTGTAAGGTTACAGTTCTCAGCTTAAAGTTTAACCCTCTCTGGGTCCAAAATAAACTGATTTCTTTCAATATAATTTTATTACAAAGGATACAATGGTTGTACTTTTATACACTGGTGATTTTTTTTTAAAGGATACCATCAGTATCATATACCCATATATTTCATAGGGAAAGGAAACCTAGACTCCTTTTCCCTATCCACCCACTTAAAATACACCCAAGAGGCCTTTGATATATTTAGCTTTGTTTTGTCAACTCCTATATTCATCATGCAAGGTACAGAAAACTCAGTTGGCTTCTAGCAAAATAACACATGACACTAGAACAGTGAATGTTTTTAGTAACAGTAGTTAAGGATTTTACGACGTGACAATTTTTTAAATATTCCTGGGGACCCTACTATATACTGGTTGCTTCTGATCTTCAGATTAAGATCATCTTCCCACCCCACCCCGCCCCCCCAAAAAGACCTCACTATGAATGTACAGTCAGCAAAGATGAGTATACCCCTACAAACAGTTCAGAGAAGTATGCTCTCTAGTCCTAGAAATTCCGTGTGGCTGGCATTACTTGAGACCACTGTGGGGCTGTCTGGGCAGATGCCGTGTGGAATGCAGACAGTCTTCCACATTTAAAATGCTGGAAAGCGAAGTTATCGAGAAGAGGAAAGATGGGTGTGCTTCCAAGTGTCGTGTTACTTATGGTATCTTCTGAATTCAGGTGGCGGCAAATGTTGGCAGCAAAAATGGACAAGTACTTTGTAGGATAAATCACATTTAAATAAAGTGCTTTCTTTATAAGATGTTCTGTCTCTTGTCCTGATGGCACCTGTAAATACGACCTCTTAGGGGGACTCCCTTACAACTGTAGGGCCACCCGCACCATGGAGGATTTCCCAAAATGTACTGAAAGAGAAATTCTAAGTAGAAAAACACACAAAGAACATTATATTCATTCATACATCTGAGTACCTCCTGTTTGTCAACATGGCCCTAGGCACGAGGACTATGGCAGTGAACAAGAGAGACAGAGTTCCTGTCTTCGCTGAGTTTCTATTCTACTAAGGAGACTAATACAGATCAAAATATACAGCGAGCTAGAAGGTGTTAAGTGCCATGGGGCAGGGGGGAACAGAAGAGGGGCGAGGTGTGCTGGAAGGGGTAGCTGATGGGACAGACACTTGAGTAAAGCCCAGGGGGACTGAGGGACACAGCCACAGAGATGATCTAGGGGCAGAGTGGTCCAGACAGTAGGACAGCAAATCCAAGGGCTGAGGCAAGAATGTGCCTGGCAACTTGAAGAAATAATGAGGAAGCCAGAGTGTTTAAAAGCCTTAAACTGCTTCCAAATTAAGGGGTTACAATTTGGGGCAAAATGTCAACACATTTCATAAACTCTCCGAGTAAGCTTTTACAAAGGCATGTCTCTGCTCTAACTAATGTCACCAAGCTTGACAAAATGAGGAAGAGAGGGTTGAGTGGGTGATCCGGGGTTATGCTGCTGGAGACGCCTGAGAAAACACTTGGGAACAAGTATCCCAAGCACCACAGTCCACCTCATGCTTCACCTTTACCATTAAGAGGCACTTTTCTTACTCAAGAAAATATAAATTGTGAAAACAAAATAAAATAATCCGACTAACACTCTTAGAGCTAAAAAAAAAAAAAAAAAAGGATCAGATTCACTTTTTTCATTCAACAGGTAAGTAAGAGAGACCCTATGTACACCCTACATTTTAGTTGAGGAATGAAACAATAAACACTGCATTACCTAGACCCCACCTGCCAGCAATGAATGGAATAGGTATAGAACAAACAGGTCTCTGATGTTTGTAATAGCACTGTTACCCTAAAAAATAAAAATAAATAAATAAAATTTTTAAAAAACAGAAAACAGATCGGCTGCCTCGACTGTCCTTAGCAGAAAAAGTGTAACAGTGAAAAACTGGAAATCTAATTTTCTCTTGGCAAAGGAATCCATATACTAGGATTTACTCATACACTGGAATTCTCTGTAGCCCCTAAAACAAATTAAGAGCTACATGTGCCTCAAAACAGTGACAAATTTAAAAATGCAAGCAGTATATATAGAGAGAATTATGCCTTTTACTTAGAATATGAAATACACAAGCTCACAGATATTGTTTATGAATAGAGAATATACCAAAGTACCAAAACACGTTTGGAAACTGTGCACTAACTTTACTTTAGAGGTCACCTGGGAATGGAGGAAGAGGAGGAGGGATGGAAAAAAACATTTCAGTTGCAGTTTACTTTTATTAAGGGAGATATGAAGCAAATATGGAGCTATTAGCAACTATTTTTAAATTAGCAACTCTTAAACACAAGTAGTGTCTATTATGCATGTGTGAAATATTTCATATTTATTTTTATTCTGAAAGGAAAAAGGAAGAGACAAATTTCCTCCATCTTATTCCATTAACTGCAAACCACATTTCCTCAACCTCAGTTTCTCTACCTGTAAGACGGGGGTGATGCAAGGCATACCTGCCTTGAAGAGGCTTTTGGAGACAACGCCTCAATGTCAGGGGCACTATGATGACCCCACAGAGTCTCCATGGCCCAGCATCCACTCACTCTATTCAATTTCACAAATAGTAATAAGATTTTTCACAATAGGGTTACAACCCCCCCCCAAAAAAAGCCATAAAACAAGTCTAAGGCATGTAAATGCTACAATAAATTAATGAAGCCTTTCCAACCAGGGCCTGGTAGAATAGCTCCCTCAAACAAGAATGGCAAGAAGGGCCATTCTGCCATCATCTCTGCCAGAGAATACAGCATTGACATTCACAAGTGCATCCATGGAGTCGGCTTCAAGAGGAATGAAAGGAAATCTGCCATGAAGGAGGTGGGAACTCCAGATGTGTGCCTGGACCCCAGGCTCAACAAAGCTGCCTGGGCCAAAGGAATAAGGAATATCCCATACTGCACCCATCTGTGGTTGTCCGGAAAAACGATACGAGGATGGAGATTCACCAAACAAGCTGCACACGTTGGTTACCTGTGCACCTGTCACCACTTCCAAAAATCTACAGACAGTTAAGGTGGATGAGAACTAATCGCTGATTGTCAAATAGAGGTATAAAACCGAAAAAAAAAAAAAAATTAGTGAAGCATTTCAATGAATGGAGATGAAAAAACCCGGGATCCCCCAGCACAGGACTACCTCTCCAATTCGTGTTGCACAAGCACTGGTTAAAAATCATAAGAACTGGATAAACTTCCTCACTTTAAAGTCTATGCTCTTACAAAAGCCCAAGGGGGAAAAAAAGACACCGATTAGGAATCATTAAGAACAGAGATCAGATTACATCCATCAGCAATAAAACTCCCAGCCACACCTGTGAACAGGTGGAGGCCAGAGCAATCAAAATCCAGCCTCCCTGTGATACACCAGCTCTTCTCCAACTTAGTTCAAACCACAAGGTGAGGCTCTCCTCTCTAAGATGAGCTTCTGCTGAGCCCGACCGATGGACAAACCAGCTCCTCCCCGTCAGGCCCTTACAGTTCGGAAATCACGTTCCCCAGAAAACTGGCAACGGTTCCCTATCCCAGCCAGCTTGGTATTCTCCTCTCCCAGAAGGAAAACGGAGACCCAAGCAAATCACCTGTGCGCCTGCGGCCGCGAGAACCCGCTGGTCGTGGTGGGCGGCCTTGAACCCCCAGATACGCCCTAACTGCTGGAAATTTGTAGAGTTGCGCGGACCCCGGTTCCTTGGAGCAGCGCCAGCCTAGACCTATAGCCCAGGCTCCAGCCCCTGGAAGGCCACTTGTAACTCCTCCCTTTCTCACTGGTCTCCATCTGTCCCGTCAGTCGGCTGCCTCCCTGGGCTTTGAGCCCCCTCCACAAAAGGGGGGTGTGAGGTCCAAACGCAAAGGAGAGCGTGTACCAGGGAACAGCAGGCGAACCCTAAAAACTGCAGAAACTAAAGCACGGCCACAACCTGCCTGAGCCGCAGCTAAGGGAAGGTGGGTTGGAGAGGATACCCACCCACCTGGGCAGAGGCTGGGGTAGATGGCGGGCGGGCGGGCTCCCCTCTCCCGAAGTCCCAGCTGCTCCGAGTCGGCCCGAACTCCAGCATCCCGCCCCCCCTCCTCGAAAATGCGGCGGGGAAAAGGACACAACGAGCGAGGGGCACTAGCAGGACCGCACCCCCGGGCCCGCCGAAGAGCTCCCCAGAGTCAGAAAAGGAACAATAGCAGACCCTCGGTCGCCGGAGCCACCCGGAGTCTCCCGCTCGCGCCTCCCTCTCCAGATCCTCCAAGTTCTGCGCTGAGGTGGCTCAAGCCCAAAAGCGCGGCGCCGGGAGGGGGGCGGCGCGGGGCGGGCCAGGCAGGTAGGACCCGGTGCTGACTCCGCGCCCCCCAGGACGCCCGGCGGGGCTGGCCATTCATTCCCGCCCGCGCTCCCTCCGCCGCCCCTGCCCCGCGCCCTGCCGCCGCCGGCCCGCGAGTGGCGGGGGTCGGGCAGGAGAAAAGCCCGCTCCCAACTTGGCCCGGTCTTCCCTCTGACTCGGGTCCCCACATCCTCCCCGCCCTACGCAGACTGTCGGCGGCCGGCGGCAGACAAGGGAGCGGTGGCGGGACCCTCGCTGCCAGCCCGCTAAGCCGCTCCAGCGCCCGGCGCGCCGGCCCTCGCCCGCGCCCCAGACACAAAGGCGGGGCGGCGATCCGGGACCCCGCTCCGGGGAGCCTCCCCGACTCTCGGCGCCGCGCACTCACCCCATCGAGGCGGAGGCTCCGGGGACCCGCCGGCTGCGCCACTCCGCCCGCCGCTTCCCCAGGAAAACGCAGCCGCCGGGCTCGCTTCCTGCTCGGCTTCCTGCGCCTCGGTCCCTCCTCCTCCCCCCGCTGTGGGGGTCAGTGGGCGCCGCGGCTCCGGGGCTGGGCCGGCGGGGCGGGGGCACGGCAGCACCACCACGTGGCCGCCCGGCGCCGGCCCCCGCCGACCTGGATCCCGCGGGATCGAGAAGGGAGGTGCTCGCCTCTCCCCTCCCCTTCCACCCCGCGCGGCCCCAAATTCCGCGAGTCAGGTGACCCGGCCCCGCGACCCGGCCCCGCGGCCCGGCCGGGACCTGCGGGAGGTGCTGGCGGCCGCCGCCGCCCCTGCGCCCGCACGCCCCGGGCGTTCCTGGCTGACTTCTAGTTTCCGGGGCTCGGGGACCTTTCCCCGCGGCTGTGCTCCAGCATCCTCACACCTGAAGTCAGTGGGCAGCGCCCGTGCTCGAACCCCAGGGCTTAGGACCGGTGCGATCCCGAAGACTGTTCCTTTCTGGGCAACTTCCAAAGTCGTTTGTGGTGGTCGGGGTGTTTTATAAAAAGTCACTGATCCGAGCGTCTTCTTCACCACAGCCAAATCGGTTATGCTTTCCGGAATTACTGAACAGAAAGTAAAGCAGATTCCGCTCCTTCTCCGGACGGACTGAACGGTCGCGTGGAGGGACCACTAGCACTCATCAGGTGGCAGAGAAAGTGCCCGCGTGAAGCGTGGCCCGGCTCAGGAGCTGGGAGAACTTTACCGCCGGACCGAGAGGCACGGATGGGGGACGCCCCCTGAAGTCGCGTCTGGGATGCGGGGAGGGAAGGCCTTACCCACCCACCCCCCAGGCTCCCCGCGGCGTCTCCCTCTTTTCAGCCCACTAAAACCGGCATTTGAATCTTTTTTTTTAAGATTTTTTTTTTTTTAATTTGACAGATCACAAGCAGGCAGAGAGGCAGGCAGACAGAGAAAGGAGGAGGAGGCAGGCTCCCTGCTGAGCAGAGAGCCCAATGCGGGACTCGATCCCAGAATGCTGGGATCATGACCTGAGCCGAAGGCAGAGGCTTTAACCACTGAGCCACCCAGGCGCCCCGGCGTTTGAATCTTAATGGACTCCTCCTGTGATTCCAAGGATTTCAAAATTTCCAACCTTTCCAATCTTTTAATGTGGGACGGCTTTTCGATTCGTTCTAGTCAGGCAAACCAGCTCAGGCTTAGAAAGTCCTTATTTACCAAAGCCCCTCCCTTCTCGGGGTTAGCTCTGCATCCTTACCCAGGGCAGGAAGCCTTTTACAATAAATGACATGAGTCTTTTTTGGTGGGATCCACAGTTAAGTCAGTTGAACTTAAAAAAAAGGGGGGGGGTGGAAGAGAGAAAGAAAAAAGAAAGAAAGAAAGAGAGAGAGAAAGAAAGAAAGAAAGAAAGAAAGAAAGAAAGAAAGAAAGAAAGAAAGAAAAGAAAGAAATCAGTTCCAACGGAAGTGAAATTCACCCTAACAGTTGAGTGTCTAAGGTCTTGGCTGCATCTTGATGGTCTCCTCCTTAGAATTTCTTTGTCTCCCCCCTGCCCAAGAGAACAAACCGTCTTAGCTTTACCAGTAAATTCTCAAACAGGGAGCAAAAGCTCTGTAACTGTGAACTGTGAAGGAACCGTAGCATGGTCTTTCCTAAATCATACATTAGAGATTCTTTTGAAAAGTGATGAATAGCCCATTTTGAGCAAAGCAGACAGATTGCCCTGTCCTTTATGCCTCTGGAATAAAATGACACTCTAAAAAGAAATGTGAGCGGCCAAACTTCTGGTTTGTTTGATGCTGGCCATTTCTACCACACAGGTTTTCACTATAGTTCATATTAATGGTGTGACACTGAGGGGGAACGAATTCGGCCACTTGTGTGTTTTCTGTTCTGCAGCTCAGTCTCCAAGCAGGTACAGGGTTCACCATGCCACCTTTGAAAGTGAACATGTACGTATTTATAGGAACGCCTGACTAGTTGGAGGAATTTAGTATCAAGCAACATTAAACAATAATTCTTTCTCTCTCTCTCTCTCTCTCTCTTTTTTTTTTTTTTTTTTTGCTATTACACCGCCACCGTGCCCTGTCCCGGCCACTTACCTCGGAACTTACCTGCCTGTGTCAGCTCTGTGGCTCTTGGTGGTGGACTTGTGTGCTTATTCTCCTTAATTTATAATCCCACCTTTAGACATCAGCAAGTCCAACTCTGGGTGTGGGGCTGCTGTGGAGGGAAGGACTCTTACAGTTGGGCTGATATGCCAAGATTCTTTTCCAGATCCCTCCTTCCCTGAAACTCAAACATCTCCTTCACATGAAGTTGTGCCACCTGCCAGAGGACTTGATGGTCAGCTGCAGGACTGAACACAGTCTTCTCATTGGTTTGGTTTGCTTTTTCCCCAGGCCTTTTAGAAATGCTAACTCATTCAGGATATATTGAAAACACCCTTTAACAGAGACAAGGCCCACGTAAAAAGATTTGAGAGAAGGCAGCAAGAATAAAATGATCATCTAAACTGCAAAGAGAGTTGTTAAAACCATTCTTGGAAGGAACAGCATGTTGTATTTTAATAGGTGAACTAGCGTCAAACCAAGGTAACTGAAATAAGAACAAAGCGACCATGTTTCCTGCTCCCTCTTATATTAACTTGCCATTTGAACTTCACCAACTGTTTGAACCTCTCCTGGTCCCATTTTCCCAATCAGTAAAAAACAGCATTGAACTACATGGCTTCTGAGAATTTTTTTCAGCTTTAACATCCTAAGCCCATTCTCTTAATCTGAGGAGCCATCGCCAACAGTATTGTCTTTCCATTTTATGGCAAAGCATCTTTCTCTAATTGTTCTAGCAGGTCAATCTTCTCATACCTACGAGATTGTAAAAATCCTGCCATCCAGGATTTAGGAGGACCCATTGAAAGGAATTGATTGCTAGAGCCAAATTTTCATTTTTGAAATTAAAAAAAATCACGTCCCTCTTTCTTGCTGCTCCATCCTTTATCTTTTTTGTCTCTCCCCACATTAGGAAATTCTTAAGTCTGGGGAGCCAGGGCTCAGACTAGTTGCAATAGTAAGAAAATGTCCCTAACAGAGGAAATAGAGGTAGGTATCACACCAGAGCCAAAAAGTAACCCTTTGCTTTACTTGCCTTTTGGTCAGGATCTGATTGCCCTTCTGGGTCTCGTTAGAGGCAGCGTGATTTACAGGAATGTGACGATATTGGCTCCAGTCCAGAGAGTGGAACAAAAACACAATCAGAAGGTTGGAGGAGATGATCTACAGAAAAAAAAATATTCATTAAAAAACCACTTTTTGTATTTTCTTTGGGATGTTTCCAAATAGGAAATTGCGACATGGGAGAAATTAATAAAACAACTTTAATATAGCACCTTAATAACTTAATAAGGCCATGGTAATAAAGTAGACTAGAAACACTGAGCACTTGAAATGTCATTAGTCCAAACTGAGATGTGCCGTACATGCAAAATATATACCATATTTCAAAGACATAAGATGGAGAACAGAAGTATCTCACTAATAATTTTTATATTAATTACATATTGAAGTGTTAATAGTTTGGATGTATTAGGATAAATATATTAACACTAACTTCACTCATTTCTTTTTACTTTTTTTAAGATTTTATTTTTAAGCAATCTGCATATCCAAAGTGGGGCTTAAACTCACAACTCCGAGATCAAGTCACACACTCCATCAACTGAGCCAGCCGGATGCCCTTTGTTTTACTTTTTAAAAAATGTGGTTAACTAGAAAGTTAAAAATTACTCCTGTATTATATTTCTGTTGGATAAAACTACTAAAGGGTTTAAAGTTAGCATCTAAGACACATTTAGCATCTACTCCATAGGCCGTATTTTTCTAAGCGTTATTTACAGAACTATAGTGGCCACATACTTAATTATTCAATCTGGGACACTTTTGACACTTTATTTTATTTTATTTATGTATTTGACAGAGGGAGACTCAGCAAGAGAGGGAACACAAGCAGGGGAAGTGAGAGAGGGAGAAGCAGGCTTCCTGCTGATCAGGGAGCCCTATGCTGGGCTCAATCCCAGGACCTTGGGGTCATGTCTTAAGCCAAAGCCATATGCTTAACAACTGAGCCATCCAGGCACCCCCACTTTTGACACTTTTCAGATGAAAGGGGGCAGGAAAATTCCAAACCAGCCAGGATACAAGGACAAAAAGCATAAACTGGAATTGTCCTGAGCAAACTGAGATGGAAGGCCACCCTAATGTTAGGTCATTTAATCTTTATATTGGGGAGAAAGAATTTTCTCTGCCCTTCAAAGTCCTTCTAGCCAGTCTAAGAATCAAACGGACATGAGACAGATTAACAGGAGGAAATCACATTTAGTTGGGGACATACAGAGAACCCCCACAGACATAAAATTCCAAGACAGCCAGATAACACAAGGCTTCTATGAGCTAAGGAGAGGGGTAGGAGTCTGAGGACACAAAAAAGAGGAAGACCATTAGAAGGAACGTGAGAGATGACATTTTGAAAACAAGGTTGCCCTCTTATGCAGATAATTTTCTTAGGTAAAGAGGAATCTCTGTTAATAACTCTCTTCCTGGTACAGGCAGGCAGTTGAGGGGGAGGTAAAGAGCTTCTCCTGAAGTTGTTGCGTTTTTACTGCTTTTGATTCAAAATAATCTTTACACTGGGGCGCCTGGGTGGCTCAGTGGGTTAAGGCCTCTGCCTTCGGCACAGGTCGTGGTGCCAGGGTCCTGGGATGGAGCCCCATGTCGGGCTCTCTGCTCAGCGGGGAGCCTGTTTCCCTTCCTCTCTGCCTACTTGTGATCTCCATCTGTCCAATAAACAAAATCTTTAAAAAATAATAATAATAATCTTTGCCCCATCTTGGGCTGCCTGTCCTTGGCCCCTGTGGTTATATCAATCCTGTGTAAGTCCCATTATTATCCCTTCTGGGCACTTAAGGGAACCGGAGCACAGAGAGATTAAGTAACTTTCCTAAAGTCCCACAG